TAACATGTTCGGGGACAATATTTTGATTATGTACAATAATATTTTCTATTTAGAGTGTACTGTGTTAATGCCCTTCGTGCACAGGTTTTAAACTGATTCATGTGAATGTGTAAAAAAAACAAGCTGAACATATATAAGATATTAATAATTTACCATAAAAAAGATATGATACAGTACTACATATTTTCAAATTTTTTAATGTTTATGATTTTTCAAAATAAATATCATCATATCTTACTATCGAAATTTGACTAAATATTTTAATAAATGAACACTGAATAATGAGTTTAGTTTGTTATTAAAATCTTCCAAGCTACTTATGAGCTATAGAGCCATCATCTATTTTCATTCAATGATGTGACACATACTTTGTATCCTTAAGTTTTCCTCTTCTCCCACAGAATCACTCTATAGAGACAACAATTTCAAGCAGCGTTGCCAAAAAGCATCATTGGATAATAATGGAATGAAATTTGACAAATAAAAATATCAGGATTGTTTCTTAAAGAAAATAGTTTAAACCGATTAGACGTTCCAACCGATTATTAACTGGTTAATCGCATTTAATTACACATTTTCTAATTTTCTTCACTTTTTAGCTCTTCTGAGCCAAAGGCTCAAAGAGCTAATGCTATGGGCATTTGTGCGGTGTGCGGTGTGCGTCGTGCGGTGTGCGGTGTGCGTTAACTTTTTAGAATATGGGCCATAACTCAAGAACCCCTTGGTCAATCAGTACCAAATTTGCCACAGGGTATCCTTGGCCCAAGGGCTACCATTTATACTAAAAAAAGGATTGGGACCCTAAAACAAGGGGAGATAATCAGGAAAACAAAACCAAAAGTACTAGTTGCTAAAAAATCTTCTTCTCCAGAACCGCCAGGCAGATTTTCACCAAACTTCATGCGGGTCAGGATATGTTGAAGATTAAAAATTGTTCAAGGCATGACCCTGGGGCAAAGGGCGTGGCCTCAAGGTCACTTTGAAGTTGACCTAAATTTAAATTAATAAAAATGTTTATATTTTGCTTACTATAAGGGCTAGGATCATCAAATTTCTAGTTGATGCACTTTAGGACTTCACATCATGTTAACTCAAAAGTAAGTCACGGTGACCTACTTTTTAAGTTTTGCGGGCATTTGTTTTCAAATTGATTTGAAGGCATATTTTGGACACTTTAAGGCCTATGATCATGAAACTTAGTCAGTTGATGCATCTGGGTCCTTAAACAACGTCAACCTAAAAGTAGGTCACCGTGACCTACTTTTTGAACTTTATGACTTAACCTCTTTAAAATATTTAATCCCATTATTTCAGGCACTGAAAGGGTTAGAATCATCAAATCTTATAAGTTGCTGCATCTTGGGACCTTAAAACATATTTAAGAAAAAGTAGGTCACTGTGACCTACTTTTAGAATTTTGCAGGCATATGTTTTCAAATTGTTTAAAAGGCATTTTTTGATTACATGTACCTTCAGACCTACAATCATCAAACTTGGTCAGGAGATGCATCTTGGGACTCTGAAAAATGTCGACCAAATATAGGTCACGGTGACCTACTTTCGACATTTTATGGCTATATTTAAGTATCTCCAGTATTTATTGGCTTAGATTCATCAAACTTTGTGAGTTGATGCATCTTGGGTTTTCGGAGAGTGACGACCAAAAATTAGGTCACGGTGACCTACTTTCAACATTTTATGGCTATATTTAAGTATCTTTGGTATTTATTGGCTTAGAATCATCAAACTTTGTGAGTTGATGCATCTTTGGTTTTCGGAGAATGACTACCAAAAATTAGGTCATGGTGACCTACTTTTGACATTTTATGGCTATATTTAAGTATCTCTGGTACTTATTGGCTTAGAATCATCAAACTTTGTGAGTTGATGCATCTTTGGTTTTCGGAGAATGACTACCAAAAATTAGGTCATGGTGACCTACTTTTGACATTTTATGGCTATATTTAAGTATCTCTGGTACTTATTGGCTTAGAATCATTAAACTTTGTGAGTTGATGCATCTTGGGTTTTTGGAGAGTGACGACCAAAAATTAGGTCACGGTGACCTACTTTCAACATTTTATGGCTATATTTAAGTATCTCTTGGGTATTTATTGGCTTAGAATCATCAAAATTTTGTGAGTTGATGCATTTTGGGTTTTCGGAGAATGACGACCAAAAATTAGGTCATGGTGACCTAATTTTGACATTTATGGCTATATTTAAGTATTTTCTTTACAAATTGGCTTAGAATCATCAAACTTTGTCAGTTGATGCATCTCGTGTTTTCAGAGAGTGATGACGAAAAATTAGGTCACGGTGACCTACTTTTGACATTTTATGGCTATATTTAAGTATCTACGATACTTAATGGCTTAGAATCATCAAACTTTGTCAGTTGATGTATCTTGGGTTTTCGGAAAGTGACGACCAAAAATTAGGTCACAGTGACCTACTTTCGACATTTTATGTCTATATTTAAGTATCTTAGGTATTTATTGGCTTAGAATCATCAAACTTAGTCAGCAGATGCATCTTTGGACTCTGAAAAATGTTGACTAAAATGTAGGTCATGGTGACCTACTTTCAACATTTTATGGCTATATTTAAGTATCTCTGGTACTTATTGGCTTATAATCATCAAACTTTGTCATTTGATGCATCTTGGGTTTTCGGAGAATGTCGACCAAAAAGTAGGTTACTGTGACCTACTTTCAACATTTTATGGCTATATTTAAGTATCTTAGGTATTAATGTGAAAATATGGCTACCTCACAGGTTTTGATGTTTCTTCAGCATGCAAATCTCCATCAATAACCAGGATAAAAAAAATAAAAGTAAATTAATGTAGATCTAGAATCCTTTGTTGATTCACATGTTCTGTTGAGTAAAAATCTTCATTTGAATTAAGATATTTTATCAATTAACATGATTAAATAAAATTAGGTAATTAAAGCCTATATGTTTACTTTTGTAAGAATAATAAATAATATATAATTGTCCATTGTTTTCTCAGCAAAATAAAGAAACAAGATCAAGGGAAACTATGCAGTTTTACATTATTTTACCAGATACAAGACATCATTGTGGTATGTGCTTTTTTCTGTTCATTTTTGCTCACTTAAGTTGAATGATCAAACTTTTGATCAAATTTTGTCTGTAGTCTGTCTGTCTAGCTGTCTGTCTGTTCATCTGTAAGGTTTTCAGATTTTCAACTTCTCTAGAACCCATGATGTAGTTCAATTTTGTTCAGATCAATACAGATGGGCCAATTTCAACCAAACTATCTACAAAGCATTCTTAGGTGAAGGAGACAATCCGGTTTTATTCAAGTGAATGGGGCTAACAAAAAATAAAATTGATAATTTTATTAGAAAAACAGTGAAAATTGAAAACATGAAAGGATTTGTCATGTTTTGATTAAAATCCTCATGAAACGGTGATAGAGCTATATACTGGGCATAAAAATATAAACTTATAAGAAACCTTTCTTTAAGTGATTTAAAAGCAATTTTCAACTTTGTTCAGAAATTAATACCAGGAAGAGGGCTGGACTTTACAAAAAAAAAATAAATTCCCATTCTGTTTTTAATAGTCCTACATTGGGTAAACAAAAATTGAAAAGAAATTTCATAAGAATATTTAAGAAAAAATGTTTAGTTTTAACTTTTCTATATTAATATCATTATAGTTCAAAAATTCGATTGTAATTGATTATTAATCGATTACATTAAGAAAATTGATTCTGACGATTATCCAGCCATATTGATATGGAAGCATCCTCAAGTGTGTAGAATTAGATTTGTTCAAATTATTGTTTATGGAGTTAAGTTTGGGGCTACAATAGTGCATCAAAGATTACATGGCATAATATAGGAAAAAAAACTTTCAAAATCTTCTCAAGAACAATAAAGTCTCTTCTAGTTGTATTGCATATTGATACAGAAGCATTTATTTCTCAGATAGTGTAAGTTCACGTTTATTCAAATTAAGACTCCCTGGGGTAGGGTGCGGCCACAGTGGGGGATCAAAGTCCTACAAAGGGCCAGGCATACATATCAAACACAACAACTTTAACAATCTTCTTCTCAAGTAAAAAGCAAAGCCATGTTTACTCATATTGATATTAGAACTTCCTCAGGAAGTGTTGATTCAGATTTCTTCAAATGATGACCCCCCCCTGGGGATCCGGGTTAGAATAGGTCCTCAGTACCCCCTTGCTTGTCGTAAAAGGCGACTAAATGGGGCGGTCCTTCGGATGAGACCGTATAAACCGAGGCCCCGTGTCACAGCAGGTGTGGCACGATAAAGATCCCTCCCTGCTCAAAAGTCTTAAGTGCCGAGCATAGGCCTAAATTTGCAGCCCTTCACCGGCAATGGTAACGTCTCCATTTCCGTGAATATTCTGGAGAGGGACGTTTAACAGTATACAATCAATCAATCAAATGATGACTTCTGGGGGGTAGGGTGAGGCCACTTTGGAGTATCAAATTTTTACACATGAGAATATAGGAAAAAATCTACTCATGATCAACAAAGTGTTGTTTATAGTCATATTGATATTGAAGGATGCTCAGGAAGTGAAAATTATGTTTGTGTAAATCATAACCCCCTGGGGTGAGGAGGGCCCCAAAAGGGGATCAAAATTTTACAAAGGTAAATATAAGAATTTTTTTAAATTTCTTCTCAAGAACAGCAAAGCCATTACAATGTTGATATGGTAGAATATTCAGAAAGTGAAAAAAAATCAAGTCCGCCTCCACCGCAGCCCATGTAAGAACTGATTTCTATTTATTCCTAGACAATGTACTCAGGCGAGCAGTGTGGCCCATGGGCCTCTTGTTTATATGTCACAACAAACTTTTGATCATGGCTATCTGTAGGGCTAATCATTTCAGAAAATGTATAATTTATATTTTAATACATACATGTACCTAAATATATAGTTTTATTCCATTGAATAATTTGTAAATATTGATTTGTTAGAGAGGTTAAATTGTGAACACTTGGAGGCTGCTATCTATTGAGACATCAAAAGAACTCAGTTCCCAATGTAAAGGTATTTCATATGTTTATGTGTATTTTGATACTTTTAAGTTCTTCAGTTTCTTAAATCGAGAATATTGATACACAAGGCCATCTTCAAAAACTGTTTGGTTGCCTTCTCTCAACAATTTAGTAACTAAAACAGCCCAAATAAAAACTTTTTTGATTTCACATTTGCAGGTGTTTTCGAATAAAGAAAAGAATTTGGTCCTTATCTGCCTACCCTGTTTTTTATCCTCAGTCAGGAGAGGGCAAGCAAACATATTTTGTAAGGATGGCCTGATCTTAATAATACATGTAAGTAATAATAAACTTATAAAGAGAGGCGTATTCATATTATAAGTAGTAATAAATTTATATTAAATAATTATTTCACTTTATATAATACATGTATTTATTCAAACCACTGAACAGATTGGGCAAGATGCATACAATATCTGTAAACACCCTGTTATTGATGTAGAATATTCTTGAACAATGTTGTAATTTACAGAGAGATCTCCCTGACTGAAGCAAATCTACACAGGATTATAAAGTCACAGGAAATTAAAGTCTGGTGTCAGTAATGTATAGAGCGGTGTTACAGAAATCTATCAGAGTGCCAGGTATTGGTGGGTGTCGTCACATTACCCACGTGTCAACAGACCGGGTCTGGATCAGTGATGGTGACAATCTCTTCTTAACTAACACGACAGGAGACATTTTAGATAGTGTGACAGATTTATATAAATTTGGTGATGGTGTACATACTGTGACTCGGGATAGTGGTGTGATTTATATAGACAGACACCATAACATCATTAAACTGACAACAGATAAAATAAAGACCACAGTGATACCAAAAACAGCACTATGGTATCTATACAGTGTCTACAGCTCCCCCTCCACTGGAGACCTGCTGGTCGGGATAAGTAATACTGATACAAAGACAAGCCAGGTAAAGCGTTATAATAACACAGGACAACACATACAGACCATACAGCACAACAACAAAGGTCAGAGACTGTATATATCACCTAGATACATCACAGAGAACCGCAATGGAGATGTTATTGTGTCTGACTATCTCCGTGATGTAGTGGTGACAGACAGAAGAGGAAGACATCGCTTCTCCTACACAGGTCACCCATCAGGATCAGGACTACGACCATGTGGAATCTGTACTGACGCGCTGTCACACATCCTGGTCTGTGATGTTTACACCCGCTCAGTACATATCATTGACCAGGACGGTCTCTTTCTGACACAGATAGAGACCAAACATCACGGGATAGGTGTACCATACGGCCTGAGTTATGATTGTGATACACAGCTTCTCTGGGTTGGATCACGGGACAACAACACAGTAAACATTTACAGACTTATCAATGAAGGGGACGATCTGACTGGTGAGTTATACTATTGTATCATTGTGTGTTTTGTTTACATGTATAGGTATTAGGTAACTATGTTTTGTGTACAATGCTACATCTACCATTATCTACAATCATTTAATTATTTAGGAAGTCACATTCGTTCACTGTTGTATGTGTTATATGAAACAAAACATTGAAGATGATAAGTCTGTTTACATTACATCTTTCATTGAATTATAATTTGTCACAATAAATAACAAGAAATATTTCTAAGAGGAGGATGATATAAATTATAAATTGTAGTTTAACTAATACTTTATCTGTTTATGGTTAGAATACTTTTACAATGTTTTAAAAGAGTTTGGAAAAGCAGTGATTTCTAGAAAGACAAAAATGCTTGAATCATGTTAATACATGTAAATGTTTATCAACTTGTAAAACATCCTCTGGAATTAATTAATTTCTCACGTGTGTAGAGCTTAATCAAGTGTATAGATATTACTGAAACATATAAACAATTGTCTCTATAGTTTAAAACTATTTGTTGAATAATAGAGGTGCTGGGCAAAGAGAGATAACTCTAAATAAACAACACTGTGTTTTGTTGACATGAATTGACAGTGCATATTATTTAAAATGCTAATGGATTAAAAAAAAACAAAAGAAAAATGTATACATATAATATTTTCATTTACCATATAAAATATAGGGATTATGAATTGTTTTTGTATTTAAATTTTAATGTAGAAAATCATGTTGAAACAAACTTTAATCTATATGAAAAATGGGTGTAGAGTGGGTGGGTGTGCTATAGGATTTGAAAATAAGTTTTTGTAGTTGATCTTCTTAAAACAAAACATAAGTTGCTAATTAAAAGGTTCTTTATGTAAAATGGTTGTACTTAGTCCCAGTGGATACATGAGCAGAGGGTAACATCTTATATTTTAAGCTTCTTCTTTGGAACTAAAGGACCAGTTTCAACCAACTCTGACATATAGCAGTTACTAGTAAAGGGAAACCGAAATTGTAAATTTTCATCCTCCCGGTGGCCTTCTCTCATGTCTAAGGGCACTTCTCTAAAGGTCATATTGTAAAAATACATAAATTCGAAAACGAATTGAAAATTTTCCACTCTCCTTTTAGAAATTTAACTGATGAACTACATAGAAATAGTAAAATTTGTGGGTTCGGTGTTATTTTGATGAAATAGGGGGGAGAGGTTCTATTGATTAAACATTTTAAATACAGAAAACATTATTTCTTAGAAAATTTAAAAATCTCTTCTCTGCTCTTACATAGTAAGGAAATAAATTAAGAGCAGTAAAGATAAATAAATTAAGAAAAAATATCATCTGTGTGTTAGTATAATTCTAATTATTCTTTTATGTTTTAGATAAAGTGGATGAGAGTTCTTGAGAAAGGAGAAGACAACCGTTTCCCATGCCAAAATTGTGTATTTCTGAAAGGCCTCTGTAAATGGAAGTTACAGAGTAGGGGACTGGAAGTTCAGGCCTTGAGACAGAAAGTTAAGATGTTTTAAATCTACAGTGAAAATGTTTTATTATGTTTTATTTCCTTGAAAATATTTTACTCTGCTAAAAAGTACAGTGTAATAGAGCAGGGCTATATTTTACAGAACCATGTGAGCTTTTCTGTATACATGTTAACTTACCGATTTAGGTGGGATTCATTTTGTACCGAAACAAAATTTGCGTCTAAAGTATTTTAGGGCTGAATTTTTAATATGTCTTAGTTATTTCCCTTTGCTTTTCACTTAGCAACATGGATTCATGTTTGTTTTTTTTTTTATTTTGATTTATTATATTTTTTTTTATCCTTACAGTGCTATACTATACTCAGGTAACTGTTAAGGCCCTCGGACCTTTTGGATTTTTTTTCTGTGTTCATCAAATGAAAGAAAAAAATATCATCTGTGAGTTCTGAGAATAATTCTAATTATTCTTTTATGTTTTAGATAAAGTGGATGAGTTAAAAACGTTCTTGAGAAAGGAGAAGACAACCGTGTCCCATGCCAGAGGAATACTTGTTGGATGTGCTGAGGCTGGAAAAACAACGCTACTGAAAAGATTAAGAGGGCAAAGTCAGAATGTTGGTGAAGTTATAGAGTCCACCAGGGGGCTGGAAGTCCATCAACATCTTTTCATTGTTAAGGACAGAAAGTTACTAAGGTAAATCCACCAAATTTCATCTACATTTAGCCATTAAGAATGCGCAGGATTTCTGTTGTCAAAATCTCATTTCTTGAATGGTTTTACATCTATAGACATTTACATGTCACCCTATTACATTTCTGCAATACTAAGAGTCAAAACCTTGTATGTATATCCTGATTTTCATGAATCTGTACCAATTTTCAAAACTGAAAAATTTTTTATAGCTAACCTGATTTTAAGCTTTTCACACTACAGATCTGTAACAATTTTAGCCTACTAATTTTTTTGCTAACCTGAGCCGAAGGCTCAACTTTCTGCCGATTTAGGTGGGAGTCTACCGATTCTTCACTCCATCTCCCGCCTACCGATTTAATTCAGAAATGAACCGCTTTTCTACAAAAGTTGCCTCTAAAGTATTTTTGGTTCGCTTGGGTATCAATTTTTGAAGCCACTCTCATAAAATCTTCTTAGATATCGCGTGATTTGACTCAGATGCATACAAACACTTTTTAGCTCACCTGAGCCGAAGGCTCAAGTGAGCTTTTCTGATAAAAATTTGTCCGTTGTCTGTCGTTGTTGTTGTTGTTGTTGTCGTTGTTGTCGTAAACTTTTCACATTTTCATCTTCTTCTCAAGAACCACTGGGCCAATTTCAACCAAACTTGGAACAAAGTATCCTTGGGTGAAGGGGATTTAAAATTGTTCAAATGAAGGGCCACGCCCTTTTCGAAGGGGAGATAATCATGAATTTTTAAAAAATTAATGGCATTTTTAAAAAATCTTCTTCTCCAGAACCGCTGGGCCAGGAAAGATGAAACTCGTGTGGAATCATCCTCTGGTAGTGTAGGTTCAAGTTTGTTCAAATCATGACCCCCGGGGCTAGGGTGGGGCCAAAATGGCCGACCCAAGTTTTACATAGGAATGTATAGGAAAAATCTTTAAAAACCTTCTTCTCCAGAACCACTGGGCCAGGAAAGATGAAACTCTTGTGGAATCATCCTCAGGTAGTGTAGATTCAAGTTTGTTCAAATCATGACCCCCCGGGGCAAGGGTGGGGCCAAAATGGCCGACCCAAGTTTTACATCGCAATATATAGGAAAATCTTTAAAAATCTTCTTCTCAAGAACTACTGGGCCAGGAAAAATGAAACTCATTAGGAATCATCTTCAGGTAGTGTAGATTCAAATTTGTTCAGATCATGACCCCGGGGGCAAGGATGGAGCCAAAATGGCCGATCCTAGTTTTACATAGGAATATATGAATAAAATCTTTAAAAATCTTCTTCTCCAGAACCACTGGGCCAGGAAAGATGAAACTCATGTGGAATCATCCTCAGGTAGTGTAGATTTAAGTTTGTTCAAATCACGTCCCCGGGGCAAGGGTGGAGCCAAAATGTCCGACCCTAGTTTTATAGGAATATATAGGA